ATGGATGGATGGGTGGATGGGTGGATGGATGGATGCATGCATGAATGGGTGGTGGATGGGTAGATGGATGGACAGATGGGTAGGTGGATTGATGGATGGGTGGGTGGATGGATGGATGGATGGATGGGTTGATGGATGGATGGGTGGATGGATGGATGGGTGGATGGGTGGGTGAATGGATGGATGGATGGATGGATGGATGAATGGTCAAGTGGGTGGGTGAATGGATGGGTGGATGGATGGATGGATGGGTGGGTGGATGGGTGGATGGATGGATGGATGGATAGATGGATGGGTGGGTGGATGGATGGATGGATGGATGGATGGATGGGTGGTGGATGGGTAGATGGATGGACGGATGGGTAGGTGGATTGATGGATGGGTGGGTGGATGGATGGATGGATGGATGGGTTGATGGATGGATGGATGGGTGGGTGGATGGGTGGATGCATGCATGAATGGGTGGTGGATGGGTAGATGGATGGACGGATGGGTAGGTGGATTGATGGATGGGTGGGTGGATGGATGGATGGGTGGGTGGATGGATGGATGGGTTGATGGATGGATGGGTGGATGGATGGATGGATGGGTGGATGGGTGGGTGGATGGATGGATGGATGAATGGTCAAGTGGGTGGGTGAATGGATGGGTGGTTCAGTGGATGGGGGGATAGGTGGATAGGTGGGTGGATGGGTGGATGGATAGATAGATAGATGATTCATAGGTGAATGAAGAGACTTATAGATGATAGATAGACATGTAGGTATGTGTATTCTACTAAATATATACATGGTTCTCTAGAGAACCATGACTAATACATATTTTGATGCCTAGAGTGATTTGCTGGAATTTTTGGACTAATCTCCTTAGATCTAGAAACACTAATGACTCTATTGTCAGAACTAAGAAGCTAGGAGCTAAGGAACTCTGCACACAATACTTCTGATCATTTCTGTAGAACTAAGAAATGGAGTGACAGCAGTTGGTCACTCCTAATGTTGCTGGACAAGGTGACAGAAGAGGAGCTCAGGGTTTGCAATTCCTGTCAGTCACCACACAGATGACCCAAGAGCTCGTGGCTCTGTCATGAAGGACACCCTCATCTTCTGTAGACGTAGGGCAGAGTGTGATGAAAATCAAACACAAAAACTCATTGTAGATTTACTGGATCCGAAGGCAAGGCAGATCCAATGTTAGAGGGAGAGCACTGACCAAAAGAAAGGGTCCTGAAAGCTAGGATGTGGACACGTGGGAAGACCCTCAAAAAGCTGGGGACAGTGAGACCCTACGCTCTGAGGAGCCTTCCCTGGCAGCAGAAATGGTTCCCACCCCATAGTCTGAGCCTCTCTGTCCACATGGTGGGGGGATCAAGTCTGTAAGGCCCTGTTTATACTTCCAGATCACAGCCCACCACCAAGGGAAGCCAGGGCAGGAAGTCAAGGTGGGGAAGACAGGAACTGAGGCAGAGACCACAGAGGAACTCTGCTCACTGATTTACTCTCTGGCTCATCTTAGCTTTCTTACTCAGTCCTGGTCCATCTTCCTAGGGATAGTGCCACCCACAGTCAGCTGGGCTCTCACATCAATCACCGATCACAACAATCCCTTACAGGGTTTGGACAGATGACTCTGCAGTTAAGAGCACTGGGTGCTCTTGCAGACGACTTGGGTTTGGTTCCCGGCACCCATATATGGTGGCCAACAGCTGCCCATAACACAGTTCCAGGGGATCTAATGCCTTCTTCTGTCCTCCATGAAACATGGGTACACTTACATACATGCAGGTGAAACACTCGTACACATAAAAAGAAATAAATAAACAACACTCGGGAGGCAGAGGCAGGTAGATCTCTGTGAGTTCAAAGCCAGCCTGGAATACACAGTGAGTTCTAAGACAGCTGGGGCTACAGGGAGACCCTGTCTCAAAAAGACCAAACAAACAAACAAACAAACAAATAAATAAATATAAAAAAAAAACAGTCTCTCACAGACATGGCCACAGGCCAATCTGATGGAGGAAAGTCTTCAGTTGAAGTCCCCTCTTCCCAGATGACTCTAGGTTTGTGTCAAGTCGGCGATAAAAACTGACCAACACAACTGTTTCCTGACTTGTAAGCAGACTTGAGTCCCAGTGGCCCTTACCAGTGAGCAGTAGTCTGGGACCCACAAGGAGGTGTGCTACATTCTAGAGTAACTACTTGAGTCCCCCCACTTTTTTCAAAGCAGAAACGAAGTGAAAAAGAAATTGATTGAACGCGTGTGTGAATAGACACGAAGGAGGCGGCGAGACGGGAAAGAATGAACATAACATTGGATCAGGCCGAATTTATTGGCATGGGTGCATTGAACACAGTGGCAGGATCCAACGATATGCCCAAGGAACCACAGGTTGGTTGGTTGGTTAGTTGTTAGTTAGTTAGTTAGTTAGTTAGTTAGTTAGTTAGTTCGTTCGTTCGTTCATCGTTAGTTAGCTAGCTAGTTCGACTGTTCCTTGGTGGATCACAGTGTGGCCCATGGCGAAGTATTTGGAAACAGGAGGCCTGCACTGGATTAACATGGGGGGTGGTGAAAGGCATAGGAAGTTGAATATTTTGAATGGATTCAACATGTTAAACTTGCTTGCCCACACTGGGTGGGTTGACTTTCATCATGACCATGAGACATAGACTAGCGTGCAGGGCAGTGTCCTTGCAGTGCCCTGCGATGGCTCATTTCTATAGATCACGCTTCACAGTGGGAACCGCATCACTCAACTGGAAAACTCAGATTGAGTTTGAGTCACTGCAGCCCAGGGTCACAGGGGCCACGGCGTGGCACCGCTCAGCACTGACGAGGCGACAGCGGCCATCATAATGGACGGCAGAGACGAAGCTGCTGTCTGAGCACTGTAGCTCATCCGGACTCATGCTGGCTAACGGATCATGGTTAGCCACAGGGACGGAGATAGAATGCCTATTAAATCCTTGCTTCATCTTCCTAAGTGGAAAACTTCCAGGATCAGTGAGAAAATGTGCGACTTGAGTCTTGAAAACAGAGTTACAGACTCACGCAATCCCCAGACCTGAGCCAGTTCACAGACCAGAACTGCATGAAAGGGAGGCCAAGTCCACTGCAGAGAGTCGGTATCTAAAAGATGTCTTTCCCTCCACCTTCCCCCCAAGGGGCATAGGGACACTGCACTGGAGAACAGGAAGTGGGCAGAGGTCTGTGACTACAGGGCACTCGCTCCGACTTGACCCTGATTCCAGGAGACCCAAACCTCATAGTGGCCCCACAATCAGAATCAGGACTTACAGAAGATCCATGGAGTTTCAGGTCTGATCCGTCTCACTGTGAGCTCACAGGTCCCCAGTTCCATCCTGTGGTTATTTCCCTAGTTTAAGAAAACACAATAGAAACAGATATGCTTAGCAGGTGACAGGATCCTTCTGTTGGCTCCCTGACCTGTGCAATGGGGTTGCTACAGTGACAAAGGCCAAGTGGAATTCCTAGGCTAGAACCACCTCGATCTGGGAAATAGTAAAACAAGTGTGAGGATACCCCTGGAGGGAATTCAGGGATGAGTGGAACTGAAAGACACAGGGAGGGCCAGACATGGTGGCACGGGCCTGTAATCCCTGCACTCAGGGGGCAGAGGCAGGAGGATCACCACAAACTGAGGGTTACCCTGTTCTTCATAGCAAGTTCCAGGCCCCTGTCTTAGAAACACAAAACTAGGGCTGTTGGGCTATCTGCAGGTAAAGGCTCCTGTCACCAAGCCCAATGACCTGAGTTCAGCCCCAGGACCCATATGGTGGAGGGAGAGAACAGACTCCAGAAAGCTGTCGTCTGATCTCCATGTGTACTCCGTGGCATGTGCGTACACACACACACACACACACACACCAGCTAAATAAATAAACTAATAAATAAATAAATATTTTTTAAACAGAGCTTCCCTATATCACCTCAGTTGGTCTGGAACACATTGTGTAAACCAAGCTGGCCTTGACCTCACAGAGATCCACCTGCCTCTGCCTCCTGAGTGCTGGGATTAAAGGTGTGCGCCACACACCCAGCTACTAATTAATTAATTTTTAAAAACTCAGAGTGGGATTGGAGAGATGGCTCAGCAGTTAAGAGCACTGGCTGCTCTTGCAGAGGACCCAGGTTCCGGGGGCATTGCACAACATGGGTACACTTACATACATGCAGGCATGACACTCATACACATAAAATTTTAAAATTTTAAAAACAACTCAGTGAGTGCTGACTCCCATTCTCTCTCTCTCTCTCTCTCTCTCTCTCTCTCTCTCTCCTCTCTCTCTCTCCCTCCTTTCTCTCTTTCTCTTTCTCTCTCTTCTCCTTTGGACTTGAACAGTTGACAGGAAGACCCTTAAGAATGACCGTGGACCTGTCACGGCCTGTCCTAAACGGCAACTCCAAGCACAGCCTCTGTACTGTCTGTAGTTTCCTGGCTTGAACTCGGGAGCAGGTCCCCTGGTGGCTGGTGTGCAGATACGGACTAGCAAATGCCTGTCTCTAGACTTTCCATCCAGAAGGCCCACCAGAGTCAGTGAGCTTTCACCCGGCAAGGCCAGCGGTACACCGTCACAGTCCCTCCTCCGCTCCCCAGTCCTGTATCACAGTTCATTTCACAGGGACCTTGGTGGCCTTTCTGTTCTTCCAGCTGTCGCTGCTGGCTCACTGCACTGGTGTCATTATGTCGACTGGACTGAGTCAGAGTAGCGACTACTCGACTTCTTGGTGTGCCTGGGTGGGAAGTGTATTCAACTGAATTTCAAGGCCTTCTCTCTCTTGGTAAGGTATCTAGGCTTCCAGTGACATGGGGCCTGAAGAAACATCCCTTCCAGGAAAAGATAAGTTGATGCCCAAGGCCCCTCCTACAAGCAGCGTCTTGTGGGCCTGGTCAGACTTTGCTGGCCATATATTCATTTGTGTTTATTACTCAGGCTTCTGCCAAGCTGTACAAATGACCTCTAGTTTGGTGTAAGGCTCAGACCAGGAGGAGGGCCCACAACAGGTCCAGGTCCTCTTCTGTGAGGACCAGATAACCCAGGGGCTCCCCTAGTGCTGGGACAGCAGTGGTAGAGGACAGGTTGTATGGAGGCTTTGACTGGCCCCACAAGGGAATAATGTGTGGCCTGAAGGATTGTGGCATGAGGCCTTGCCCGCATCTGCAGATAACCACTTCCCTAATGAGAATCAGCAGCAATCCATCATCAGATGGAAGCAGGCTGCAAGACGGGGCCTGAGCAGTCTTGGAGGCACGAGGACCAGGAGGAACTGGCTCAGGTACCACTGAGTCGCTATTCTAACTCAGTCCAGTCCCCTCTCCCGATGTACTGCTCTTCTCTCCCAGTGGGCACCTGTGGCCTCATGAAGAGTTCCCTAGAACCAGTGGGCAGAGGATGAGATGACCTGTGCCTGACTTCTACAGGCATTGCACAAGGGTGCACTTACACACATGAAGGCATTAGACTCATATACATAAAATAAAAATAACAAATAAAATATTTAAAGTAAAAAGAAATGAGCCGGGATGTAGCTCAGTTGTCCTCCTAGTGTTTTTTCTGTTGCTGTGATGAACACCATGACCCAAAGCAACTTAGAGCAGGCCAGGGTTTATTTCCAGTCACACTTCCAAGACTCAGTCTGTCACTAAAGGAAATCAGGGCAGGAACTCAAGGCAGGAACCTGGAGGCAGAGCCATGGAGGAAGGCTGTTTGCTGGCTGCTCTCTGGCTCATGCCCAACTAGCTTTTTATACAGCCCAGGTCCACCAGCCCAGGAATAACACTGCCCACCATGGGCTAGGCCCTCCCACACCAATCACCGAGCATCAGTCAAAACAATCTCTCACAGACATGGGTTCAGGCCAGTCTGACGGAGGAAGTTCTTCCTTTGGGTTTCCCTCTTCCCAGGTGACTCTAGGTTGTGTCGAGTTGACAATAAAAACTAACCAGCACAGTTGGTAAAGTGTGTGTCTAGCATGTATTAAGCTCTGAGGTCAGTCCTCAGCACTGTGCAAACGGGAGTGATGGTGCACACCTGTAATCCCAGTACTTTGGAGGTGGAGGCAGATGGATCTGAAGGCCAAGGTCATCCTTGGCTATATAGTGAGTTTGAGGCCAGTCTGGGCTATGAGACTCATGCCATGAGGTCATGCTCATCAGGAGTAACCCCAGGAAAGGAGGTCAAGTGGACAGAGCGCCCCATCCTGCGGATAACAATAGCCTCTTCTTCCAGCCTGTCAGTCAAGATCCTGCTGGCCATGAGCAAAGTAGCCACGGAGGGAGGGCTGGAGGCTATGCGTGGGCTCAGCAGCATGGATGCCCACTCACCAACTTCAGTTGGATGTGACCACTACTGAGTCCCAATCCGCTCACAGCAGAGGTCAACACAAAACCCCCTAGTGTGGCATCATTCCATGGGGACCAGCCAGGCACCTGGGGGCAGGTTGAATACGCTGGGCTGTTCCTATCATGGATGGATCAGCAGCTACATGGGGAGACATGCGCTCTGGATATGGGTTTGCCGTCCCCTCCTGCAACAGCTCCCAAATTACCATCCACAGACTTGCAACAGCTTTATCCATCATGACATTTCGAACAGACCTTAGTCTGTTCAGGCAGCTATAATAATACATCTTAGATGGGTAAATCTGTGTGTGTGTGTGTGCATGTTCATGTGTATGTGTATTTATATGTGTGCTGTGTATGTTTTTCTTCGAGACAAGGTCTATTGGTAGCCCCGAGCTCACCCAGTCAGCTAGGCTGGCTGACCAGCAAGCCATAGGGATCCACCTGTCTGTGCCTCCTTGGCATCAGAATTACAAGTGCGTGCCACCATGCCCAGATTTTTATGTGTGTTCTGGGGATAGAACTCAGGCAGGGCCTCGTGCTTAGAAGACAAGCACTTTACTGACCAAGCCATCTCCCAAGCCCTAAACTAGTGATCTAAAGATGACAGAAATTTGTCTCTTGGGTTTCTGGGGCATGAGAAGTCCAAGGTCAAGGTATCTGTTCTGACCTCTGTTCCTCAAGGGCCTGTTCCTCCTTGTTAGGGCTCTTCCCTTGTGACCTAATCCCCAAAGGGCCACCTTCACATCACTGTGTTGGGAGATCACAGACCATTAAACCACAGCAAGGCAACATAGCCTCTGGTCAGGTATGCACTTCCCAGCAGCGTGGCACTAAGCTACATCCATGTGATCACTGGTCTAATCATGTCCCATCAACCCTGAAGCAGCTGGTTGACAGTTTGAAGATACAGTTATAATGCCAACATGAATATACAGGTTCAGTGCCGACCGGATGGCAGTGTCTTGCAGGGCTGGAGCACTGTTCTCCAAAGGCTGTCGATGCTCTGCCGACACCCAGAGTATTGTACTGTTTCCCTCACAGCCAAGATTCACGGGTCCAGGAGTGAAGGTGTAAAATGGAAATGGTACTCCCCCACCCCTGGTGACCCACAAGCAAACAGCATTCTAGTCCAATGACCTTATGATCTGCCGGCCTAGACTTGTTTCAGAGTGGGGAGTGCTTCTGCCCGAAGGCACAACAAACACCGCATTGAACTGGGAGCTAAGACGTCCCCCTGGTCCATCTGGAAGCCTCGATCATAGGAGGACTTAGGGGCCGGCGGATGCTCGGCCCTGAATACCAGGAGAGAGCTGCAGTGCAGGCCCCTCAGGTTGTCCCTAACGTCACCTGGCCTGGGGTTAAGGTCAGTGGGTCCACAATGATCCACAGCAGGCCAGGGTAAGGTGTGGGTCACCTGCAAGGTAAGGAACTAAAACCAGTCAAGATGCTGACTGAGGGCAAAGGGGACACCGAATGGTATACAAGAAGGTATTTCCGCATGCCAGCTACGACCACATGACCAGTGACATACACAAGGTCTGCAGAGGCCATGGGCACGTCCTCCTTTTACAATGTGTCTTCTGCATAGTCACACGTGCAGGAGCATGTGTTTCCTTCCTGTGTCTTTCCCATCTCATTCCAAGATCATGTGACATAAGAGGTGCTATCTTTATAGCAGAATACATTCATTTTGTATTATAGCCTTTGAGTTATGGGATGTCAGGGGGAGAGCAAACACCACTTAAGAATCTTACTTCCTCTTTTGGGGAAGGATTCAGGGGTTGCTCGAAACACACCACACAGTTGAATCTGTTACGTGGAACCATGGTCTTTCTAAAGTCTTTACTGGGAAACTGAGACACATTGCTGGCCACATGGTCCTAGCTGGCGTGTATAACTACCCTCTTCCATTACAGGCGGTGACGTGGAGTGGGTGGCTGTGTACGTACGCCTGAGCATCCTTACTGGAGTGGCTGCCCCAGCTCCCAGCCGGTGTCCCTCCCCGGGAA